ACTAAAATCATATCAAACGTTAGGATTTTATAAGTAGTTTCCCATCATTCAGCATTTAGTGATTCTCATAGTGTAGTAAGGCTTTTTATCTTGCAGCACTTAATGATTTTCATGGTATAGCATTTAATTTTTATTTGACTAGTGATCGTTTTGATATTATTTATAGAAACTCACACCCAACAAATAAGATATTGTCTACTTTGATAAAATTTTTTTATAATTTTATCTTATAAAAAATGACTCATAAGTTTAAGTTTAAATTTATATATATATATATTATAACATATCTATATATTTTTCTAATATAAGATTGTGAGCGTCATAAATAATTATTTAATATATTAATGTGAACCAATTATTACTTTATATTATACGTTTTTTTTTTTTTTAACATTTATTTTGAGATATGTTAAGACTTAACAAAAATATATGATAGTAATTGTGACTTTTGAAATTTCATTTTGGTACGATTAAGTCAATTGGAGCTAAAGGAGCCAATGGCTTTCGAGCCTTTAATCTCAGGTCTGGTGCGATTGATATGCTTTTACTGGCCAATCCAACACAAAACTTTTCGGTGCAAATAGTGTAATTGCACCTCACCGCTACTCTCTGGGTATTCAAATGGAATCCGTAGGATAGACTATAAGATTAATTTTAATAAAATTAAAAATAATGATAAAAATAAAATTAATTATTATAATAATAAAATTAATTAGTATAAGATTGAAATTAAAATTAATTATGAAATATATGTTTGAATATAAAATTAATAATGATGGTGAGATGAAATATAATAAAAAGAGAAAATAACTATTAATGATATTAATATAAAAGTTTAATAATAAATAATATATTTTAAAATTATTTAGCATTTAAAATCTTAAAAAATTAAATTAAAATATTGACACATATTAAATTATATTAAAATAATAAATAAAATTAAGTATTAAAAATTGTAAAATTTATTTAAAATATTTAATATTTTTAACAATTAAACCATATGAAATAATTATTTAATATACTAATGTGAACTAATTATTACTATATATTATACGTTTTTTTTTACCATTTATTTTGAGATATTTAAGACTTAACAAAAACATATGATGGCATGATGGCAATTGTGACTTTTGAAATTTCATTTTGGTACGAGTCGGTCAACTGAAGCTAAATGATCCAGTGGCTTTCGAGCCTTTAAACGCATGTGTGGCGCAATTTATATATTCTCATTGGTCAACCAAACACAAACTTTTCGGTGCGAATGGTGTAATTGCACTTCATCATTGCTGACTAGACATCCAAATAGATTCTTAAAGTTCTTTTGAATAGGCGGGAAAATTAATTTTGATAAAATTTAAAATAATTATAGAAATAAGATTAATTATTATAAGAGTGAGATTAATTATTATAATATTGATATTAAATTAAGGATGAAATATGTATTTGAATATAAAAATAATAAAAATGATAAGGTGAAGTGAAGTGAAAAGATAAAATTACCATTAAAAACATTAATATAAAAACTTAATAGCAAATAATATATTTAAAAATTATTTAGCATTAAAATCTTAAGAAATTAAATCAAAATATTGACACATTAAATTATATTAAAATAATAATTAAAATTTTAAGTATTAAAAATTGTAAATTTTATTTAAAATATTTAATATTTTTAACAGTTAAACCATATCAAATAATTATTTAATATACTAATGTGAACTGATTATTACTATATATTATACTTTTTTTAGCATTTATTTTAGGATATTTAGGACTTAACAAAAATATATGATGGCAATTGTGACTTTTGAAATTTCATTTTGGTGCTATTTGGTCAACTGGAGTTAAAAGATTCCGTGACTTTCGAACCTGTAATCACAGGTGTAAGCAATTGATATGCTTTCACCGATCAGCCAAACACAATTTTTTTGTGCAAATAGTGTAATTGCACCTCATCGCTGCTAATTGAGCATCCAAATGGAGCTTTAGTGCATGAAAATTTTCAATATAAGAAAAAGAAAAGAAAAGATTATAATAGAATAAAGCTTCCCTGCCGCTGAGCCGCCTCTATATGCTATATCTAGAAGGAATGCACGACTTTGTGTCCTCTTTTCCGAGTGCTAAGCTTAACACTTTTAGTGGTGTCTCGGTTACTCAACTTCCAAATTTCCCATTTATAATAAAATTTCTTTCAAAATGTGCTAAATCTAGTGTTTTTATTTCTGCCATAAAACTAGTAACTCACTAGTATCACTACTCCTTTGAAAAGCAAATACTGGGAATTGCAAGTTAGATTTTTCCATCATTTTTCTTTGTTGCATCTTCTATGAGGGTAAGCTTCAAGATGGACGAGAAATAGCTGTGAAGAGGCTATCTGCAAATTCAGCACAAGGCCAACAAGAATTCAAGAATGAAGTCCTGTTATTGGCAAAGCTTCAACATAGGAATTTGGTTAGGCTTCTTGGTTTTAGCTCGGAAGAAAAAGATTCTCATCTACGAGTTTTTGCCCAACTCAAGCCTTGACCGCTTCATATTCGGTATAGTAGCAATTCGTTTGACTATACAAATTCAATATATTGACTTTATTTAATTCGCTTGTCTTGGCAGAATGCGTTGAAAAGACATGTTTATTGGTAAAAAATTGCATATCTCGGATTATAAGTATTTTGTTCATGACTAATCATGAGTAGAAACTTTTTGAATACATTTTAGTCCTGGAATTTTGTAGATCCTGTCAGGCGTTTACTACTAAATTGAGCGAAGAGATATAAAATTATAGAGGGAATAGCTAAGGGACTTCTTTAGCTTAACTAAGATTCCCAATATCAAATCATCAAAACAGTCAATATATTGTTAGATGCAGAGATGAATCCTAAAATTTCAGATTTTGGAATGGCAAAATTGTTTCCAGTCGATCAAACTCACTCTGGTACAAGCAGAATCGTTGGGACCTTGTAAGTATATGAACATGCAGATTTTGTTTTTACACCTGTTGAGTCTAAAACACTAGCTTATCCTAAGCATTAGCACAAATTCAACAAGGGCTTACTTTAAAATCCATTCAAATTCATTTTTTTTATTAATTTATTGTCTTCAGTGGATATATGGCTCCAGAGTATGCTTGGCATGGACAATATTCAGCTAAGTCTGATGTTTATGGCTTTGGTGTGTTGGTTTTGGAAATCATTAGTGGTAAAAAAATCAGTAGCTTCGCCAAAGAAATAGTGGGAGAGTCTCTTCTAACCCATGTAAGTTGCATCTCCCTTGTGTTCAAGACTGGATTAGAATTGTTAAAAAGGACAATGTAGATTTTACATGCTCTTTGCTGAGTTCATATTCTCAAAATCCTTGCAGGCATGGAAAAATTGGAATGATAGGACTGCTTTGGATATTTGAGATCCAATTCTGAGGGATGGTTCGAGCGGTGAAATAATGAGGTTTATCCATCTCGGATTGCTATGTTTTCAAGAAAATATTGCTTACAGACCAACCATGGCCTCTGTTGTTCTCATGCTTAATAGCTACTCCATCTCTCTCCCAATATTGCCATCGAGACCTGCGTTCATTTACATTCCATCGAGGAGACAGAAAAGAGGTCTGAGTCATACATATCTGATCAATATAGGCGTGAAAATGTCAAAGTCTCAATCAATGAGGCTTCAATTTCTGAACTAGATCCTCGATAGGGTTTGAAAGATAGTACTTACATATTATCTGTAAGTTTGTCTAGAAATTCTCAGTGCTTCTTTGGTTTTTTTATTCACAAAAATCTAAGGTGAGATGAGATTTTCCTTGTCCAGGACCAACCGCAAGCGAAGTATTTGGATCCTTATTAATTCTACCAACTTTCATTTGTAGCGCTTCTTTGGTTTAAATATACATAATAAACAGCTTTGCTTCGCTGCTTAGTGAGCCCTTTGCTTGAGAAGTCTTCCATATTTATATAATTTTAATTTTCAGCGTTTTCCCTCGAGCGGTTTGTTGAATGGATTGTACAAGCTTAACCTCTGATATTGTATCAGGCAACTACATGCCTAGCGGGCTAGAGTTTTCCCTTAAGGATTTAAAGCCCAAGTAGTATCTTAGGATGAATCTAGTTGCGTGAACCCATTGGGGAAGCCCAAAAGTAAAAGAAAACAATAAAGGAGTCCACGGAAAAGAAAGCTTACATACCCAAGGACATCCGATCAGCGTGTAGGAATTACGATGACTAATAAATAGAAGGATATTTTTTATTATTTGATCTCTGTATATTAGATTCGGATAATTATAAATAAATAAATAATTAATTTAAATAAAAAATTTATTATTCATAATGGATTCAAAATAAATATGGATAATATGTTTTAGATATTTAATATTCAAATTTATTTAAATTTTAATAAATAATAATAAATATCTAAATTTGTATTGAATTCATTATCTTTTTAGACATATAAAAAATATTAATTTTATACTTACAAAGTTTCAGACTTCAAAAAATAACTTTTTATTTATTATTAATTAATACTGAACTTGAATGTTAAATTAAAATTTTATTCATTTTATATTTTTATAAAAAATTTAAACAAAACAGATATTTTAAAATATTAAAATATTTAAATGGATTCATATTTAAATAACGATATTAAATTTAAATAAATATTTAAAAAGATTCGAATATTATAAATATTAAATAGATTCGAATAGAGATATTTACTCCGTTACCATTCCTTTCAATATGTAGTCGGTCTGGTTCCACTAGTGACAAAACGTTGTTTGTACATTGTTCACCAAATGATTTGTGTTGTTGTTGGATTTGCTCTTCGCATCATATGTTTTCAAGTTTAATTGCATGTCTGCATTTGATGATCATAAATTCATCAAACTATGAAATTCTTTTTCTTTTTAATCTGAAACTTATGAATATATACAAAACAAAGAAAAAAAATGTGACAAAATACAGCAAATCAGCTATAGATACATAAAGAAGACAAAGGTAAAGTATTAACAATAGTGCTTCAGAGAAATCGAGTAGCCCTTAGTTTCCATTTCTTTGATGAATGTGCACGTCGAAGTTTAACTTTCTTCTTCTTGTTTGATAGCTTGCCATCTTTACCAATCGGTATCTTCCCTTCCCTGTGTATGCTGTGGTGATTACTCTTTATGCCCCATGTTTTATATTTGATCGTAGTTGATAAATCAACCCTTAATTCAGCAGTTGCATTCAGTATTGCATTTCGAAGAGCTGTCCAAAGGCCGGTGTCAACATCCACATGGTCAAGTACTAGACGATTTCTATTCTTCCCTTGATAAAAAGAAGGGATAGCATTGTTCCCCACTGTATCTGGCCCGTGATAAAAGATCAGGAAGATATCATCATAGTCGATACCAGAGTCTTTGTTTGGATTTTGGATATCAAGTTCGTATTGAATTATCCCATGATCAGATGCATTGCCATCATTCACCGCAGGGACCAAAAAGTTCACGATAGTATAGTTGGGGCTTTTGGGACGTAAGGCTAGCCATAGACAAAGAGCAAGAAGGCCTGAGAGGCCAACAATCTGAAGTAGCCATAAGTAGAAATTTTTGGTTTCACACATTATTATTTGGAATAGTTTCTTCTGTGGAGAGAATGAAGGAGGTTTCCACAAGGATTGAATTGATAGATCAGCCTAGCTAGTAATGAAATTTGATTGATCTCGGAGGCTAGGGAATAATGGTTTGAGTGAGAATAAAGTTTGAAGTTTAGAACTTTTGTTCGTTGAAGTATGTAAGTTTAGCAAGGAACATATTTATTAATATTTTCAGGGAGAGACGAACTATATTCTTTTCTTTTGCGTGTTATTTTGCTTCATGTGGCACACAGGCTTCAAGGCCAAAGATTAGCAGTGAAGGAAAATGTTTGCATTGCTTACTATAATAAGCAGGAAGACTACTGGTCCACATGAGAGCAGCATAATTGAAGAACTAAGAACTAAGGAAGCTTAATCTTTCCGGTAAACATAAAGATACTGAAGAGTGTTTTAATCAAAAGGTAATTAAAGTAAATAATTTCAATAGAAGTTGCTTTATATCTCCTTTTTTGTTTGGCAAGATTATTCCAATATTATTGTTAACAAGATAAATCAAGTGGATTAAAAAAGGGGAAAACATGACTCAGCAGTGAAGGACTAAAACTCTGACGTGGTTCAGATCTGGCAATTTCATAGCCCTTGCATCCAAATTCCAAATACCAGGCTAAAGTGGCAATTACTCCATTCATCCAAGAGAAACAAAGAGCAATTTCACTGTCTCAATTGTACAAAATTTCCCATTTTGCTTAATAAGCACCTCCTCTAATAAAGTTCATCTCAAACAAGTAAGACTTATAAGTGTTTTGATTTTCTCTTTAGGTATATATGGAGAACTTAAGCTACAAGTTTTACTTTTGTAACATTCAAAGCTTGAAAGGTCTAAAAAGGTGCCATCAAATCATAATTCCTTTAGACATATGGCATTACAAATAAAATCAAATAAGAAATGATACAACAAAGAAAAACCAAAACAAAACGAAAAAGACATAAATAAATGCAAGAATCAACTGAAATAGACAGGACATTTCTTGTTCTTCCAAGCTGGCAAGATCGATCCATCAGAACCGACTGCGACATCACAATTGACATGCATCTTATGGTGCTTACTGTCCCATATAGAAACCTTAAATCTGATTACTGAAGTTATATCTAAACGAAAAACCACCGTTCCTTGTTGCCTATCATTCATAAACTCCTCCCAACGGTTGTTGTTTGCCGTAAGCGTGGCTGCACCGAATGTACCGTACACAATTGTTGTTGTCTTTGGTTCCTGGTAAAAAGGGTCCAGCAGCGGAGTTGACCCGATTTGTTGATCTTTATAAAAAACTGACCCGACCATAGAGTCGTAATAAATTCCAATTTGTTGGTTGGAATTCCTGGCTGTTACATTGAACGTTATTTGAGCATTCTCAAACCCTGAGGGTTGAGCCAAACCAGGAACCGTAAATTCTACGATGTGAAACCTTGGACGATGAGGGCGTAAACTAAGCCATAAAATGAAGAAAACAATGCCAACAACTAAAAGAAGAGACAAAAATATGGCACATAGTATTTTGGTGACTCTAGCGGTGAAGCTTTCACGAACCCGATGCGCGTAGTAGCGGGCAGTGTGGCGGCGTTTGATGGGTTGATGGGTTTGTGGTGGAGTGTGTGGTTGGGGTTGGGGTTGGAATTCCTGCTGGGTGTATCGGATCGGCAACCTGTCAGGATCGGCCATGTTTTTGAATACTTGAGAAGGTTTTCCGAGGAGATTTCGGTGATGAAACAGAAGTGTTTCCAGGAATGGTGTTTATGTAGTGGTTATTTCGTGATCTAAAGGTGGCGGGGAAGGCAAGGGACGTTAAAAAATTTGGAGTCTTTTTGCATGGCGAAAGAAAGGAATAAGGCCATCGTTTAATCACAAGGCAATCCATGTTCATAAATGGTACTATTACCCTTACTGTCTGACAGCTGGTCAAAAACATATGTAATATATAGGAATTTCAAGCCGAAATGTAGGACTAATTTTGGTCGACAGTCCATTGAAATTTGGGTTTTGGAAGAACCGACCAGCTCCAAAACTCATTTGGACCAAGGTTAGGCTTGGGCCATCATGTTTTATTGCAATTTGGATAAGGCCCAAACCAGTTTTAAACCTATTGGACACTCAAAATGGGTTGAGAGACACGTCAAGAAACCATGAATTTTGACGATTGCGGGTCTAAATATCGGATGAACTTGGTGAGATTCTTCGTTAAAATTGATTAAACAAAAACTAATTAAAAAGTTAAAGGCCGATAAATTAAAAAGTTAATGAAAAGAAGAATAATATGTAAAAAAATCAATTAAAATTCATTTGCAACAAATGAATGCCTCAGAACAAAAATGGAGTACTACTACTACCACGATAAAAGAAACAAAACCATTAAAGCACAAAATTAAAACCAAAATTTAGAAGAATATTGTAAAGTGATAATAACTAAAAGGCAAATTCAAAGAAACATTACTTATAACAGGGATGTAATAATCGGTTCTCATTCATCTTGATGTATAAAATTGCCATTTAAAAATAATAATAATAATAAAAGGCAAATTCAATTCTTTCATATAGGCTGAATCCAAGTATACCATTCTCGACAAAGCCACAGCAACGTTCAAGAAAACTAGGGGTTTAGCCAATTCGGAAAGAAAATATTACCTTTCCCTACACGGTTAATAAGCTTTATTAATCAGGGCGGCTTAGCTCTTCATTTGGTAGCACCAATGGGTTTGCAAGTTGCATCCCATGAGTGATTTTCTACGAGGGAATGATGAAGGAGAGACTTTTAAGTCATTAGGGATTGTGGTCGAGACAAATAGGTGGGGCAATTGAAATTGATCTTATTAATTGCATGCATCAAACATGATAAAATTCTAAAAATTCATAGAGCTAAAAAACAGTTTCCTGTATGCTAGCAAAAACATTCCTACCAGTACAGATTAAGTTACAAAGCCATCGATCAATGATAAAGGAGAGTGCCCACACTATCAAACATCGGACTTTTGTCTTTCCCTGGAAACACCTTGTCTTATATTCAATTTGTATTCATGCTGGCTCATAAAGATTTTTTTGGCTTATTAGTTATTGTATTGCTATAAAGATTAGAGAAGACAAGCTGCGGATGGTTCAGAGTTCAGATTTTCATGATTGAGCATCGAAGGTTCTATTCCCTTATCATTGCTAAATTAGACTTGTCCTGTTTGAGGAGAGTAAAAATCAGTGTCAATGAGAATCAACTACCATTTGTTTTCTATTGGGCAAGGGTTGGACAACCCGTATTCTCTTTAGGGTCCCTTTTGGCTTTCTAATGTCTGGCTTTGATTATTTGATTGTCTTCTGTCCATTTTCTTTGCATATCTCACTTGTTGGTTTCCCATTAAACCAAAAGCTATTATCCGAAAACCTGTTTAGAGATTAAGACTAATGAATTCTTCAATTCCCAATTCATTGTATACAAAAAATAATTTATGAAATAATATCTTATAAGTCAAGTTTGTGAATCGGCACAAGAAAATCAAGTTCAGTTCTCAAGTACCATGCCGTTAAGTCGATTCCCCTTTTTCCTTCTTAATTAATGCGATAAATTAGAATTCCCCTACCAATCGTTAGTGGAATATCTAATTCCTGTTAAGTCAAAGGACCAAACAAAGGGTGATAGCCACCATCCATTTGTCTATGAATATTCTATCTTGGCCATCATCAAGTTTCAGCTGCACAAGGCACAACTCGGATTTCTAGGTTAAAACTCGAATTTTTATTCTGGCTATGTATATATATTGAATTTTGAATTCAAAATTAACCCTGATATTTTATTCACTTTATTTTGAACTTTTAGTGTTAAAATTCAAGTCTCAACTCCTATAATTCTCCTCGTCTTCAAAATCGATAATTAAATATAATGACGTTTGATTAGTTGATTATGACAGTACACTCTCTCTTGTTTGCGGTTGTAGCCAACTTATGTATGATTGTTCCTTGATTATGCATTAATTCTAGCAGACAATCATGGTGGTGATCACGTTTAGAGAGAATTACCATGATTACTTTTCGTTGACTCTCCCACAGTGCAAAAGGGGTTCGAAAGTGGGGGGTTGAACTTACCGAACTATTCATTATTTAGCCAACAATTGCAACCGAAATAAAACAGATCATCCCCAACTCTCCTTTCCCTACCAAATAATCAAGAGTGGAAGCTGTAATGACATCTCCACGTTATTCTCCCCTTATCTCCAAGTTCCATTGCCCCATATTTATCTCGTAACATTGATGAAATTTAATGCCAAGCAAAGAAGCACACACACACACACACAAAAGGGGGGGGGGGGGAATAAAATATAATTCAATATCTTATTGGCTAAGAAAAATTATTATTTCACACAACCTATATTAATTGAGAGGTCGAAGTGATTTGGACTACAACAGAAGTATAGTATATCGAATAATCAGCTAGCAAAGAAGCATATCAAAATCCTAATCCAAAAAGAAAAAATGATAAATCCTTCTAAGATCTCATCACAATAACAAAATTTTTAACCTCATATGGATAAAACTTTAGGGGGTTAACTTTAATTAATATATAAATAAAGAAGAATTGAATAATTGAACTCCTAGTTCTAGAATTTGGGTGGTGGTCACTTCTTAATGATCTTATATAATGATTGTGTTTATGCAAAAACTTTGAATTCAAATTAAACATTTACAATCTCTATCTCTAATGATATCCTTTTTTGTACCAAGAAAAATATATATATTATATGCATGATTGCATGGTGAAATCTACCCAAAAATTCAAAGTTGGTTATACGAATTGCAAGGTTAAGCCAACGCCCAATTACAAAGACCAGGGAATCAAGAGTAGTTTCTTGTTTGAAGAGACTTCTCCAATTAACCACCATGTTGACTTAGAAATTAACAATTCTGAAAAATGTAGCTACCCTCAATAAAGAATACTAATTACATGTAAGACTTTTTTACATAACAAATATTGCCCCCACATGGTTGAGCAGGTTAATAAATACTACTATTTTTCTCTCCTAATTATTCTTGGCTTTGTCTATACTAGGTATGGACGTTATCAATGCTGAGTATGAATCCTTTTGTGGCGAACATAATCTCAGTCTTATTGTACTAACTGTGGAACTCAACTTAATGGCAGTGCAAGTCTGACATCTTTAAATTTTGCTGCAATCCTTTTTCTCTTTGTTTTTCTTTGTCTGTTACCAGTGACAATTGAAAGAAAGAGGGGACCGAAAATAAAAGAAGAAAGAAGAATATGTGGGGTCATCTATTCTGTGTTTGGAAATTAAATATGAAAGGTGTCCATTTCATGACTTATCTCGAACTGCCATGAAATTCCAGGAAATTTTATTTTTGAAGACAAACATATGGAAGAAAATATGTAAAATGGCAATGGGCTGGTCCCGAGCTTGATTCAGACTAGAGCAAATAGCTAACATGCTTCTTCATTACAAGTGACAAAGGCCCCTAGGCTTTGACTCAAAGTGTGAACCTTTAATTAATAATTTACCAAGAGATTGTAAGATTAAGATGAATCACATCGCAGCTATGTGTACTCCAGCAGTTAAGAATATATGTAGTCTTTTGATTTTTTGAGCTGCTTGCTGGGTAAAGTTTTGCCGAAGGGCAGCTGACACTTATGATTTTTGTACTGTTATTTTCCAAAAAAGAAGCAGCTAAATTCCACAGCTTTGTGTACCTAAAACTGAAGCCTAGAGCAATGAAAGTCCCTTCATTCCCACGAATTGGATTTAGTTGTATTTTATAGTAGTGTCATGCAACTTGCCTCACTTAAATAAAATTTAAAATTTTGTGGATAAAGTTTATAAATTTTTTTTATTAAAAATGATTGAATAAAAATTATTATTAAAAATTAAAATCAATAAATTAAAATATTTTGTTACATAGATTAAATATACAAATTTTGATTTTTTTTTAGATAAACAATTTTAATAAAAATTTTAATAAAATTTTTATCGTTAAATAAATACCGATCAAATTTTAATTACAAATATCATTTTTTATTTTTTTATATATTATTGATTTTTATATTAAATTCTATCATTTCAATGGTTTGAAATATTTTTATTAAAATATTTATTAAAATTTTTTTTTAAATTTCACAAACATTATCCAAGAACTTCATCTAACTTTTTGTTCCCTCACATGAAATACAAGGAAATTGCATTGTTGGATCTCCTTGGTAAGTGGCACAAAGTCACTATTTCATTTTCCCTTTTAGACAAGGAAGGTTACCTACCTTTCTTTTTCCTTTTTTCGGTGCCTTGCGATTACCAAAACTTGTTGGGATTTTTTTATTCTTTTTCTCATGGAAACCTGGGAGCATGTTTCCTACGAATCAAGCTTGAAGCTTCAATATAATAAAGTGAAATGTTTCTTCATAGAATATTTACATGAGGCAGCAGCAGCAGCAGCATCGCCACCGCCAGAAACATTGCTTCCACGACATGTGCTGCTCCTTTGATCATTATTGGCCAAGCTTTTCTTCTTAATTATCTATATCTTAATAACACATATATTCATACAAATTTAATGTCTAATTTCTTTTTCTTTTTTTTTCTCTTCTAAGATTCAGCTAAGTGGAGCCTGTGACATTCTAAAAGGCATTTATGATTAACACAGATCGTAAATTCCCAAATGATTGACATTATTAATTTTGAAACTTATTGTTCAATCAATTAATGGGTTGAGCAAAAGGGGTAGTGTTGAATTTTGTGGTCAATATTCAGTCTGAATGACCTTCAATTATTTCACGACTAGTATTTTAACAATTTTAATTTTAGAACGCAACCGGGGAAGGCCTGGCCTCTCATCTTACAACTCGATGCCCCACGCCTTTGTGTTTTCAATGTCCATATCAAATGGATCATTACTTGATCATCCTCAATTCGTCATGGTTTACAATAATAAGTTGTAATCTTATGGACTCAATTTCATGGGAACTATCCCAAGATTTTAATGCAATTCAATTACAATCATAAAATTTTAACTGGAATCAAACTAATTGAAATATTTAAAACAAAATTTATCTATTTCTTATGAACTAAAATTTTTTGATTGTGATTAAACTACATCAAAGTTCTATGAAAATTTTTACAAGATTGAGTCTATGAGATCAAAACTTGACAATAGTTTTTTTTTTGCCTTTAAGGATGTAATTAAACATAGCTAGTTTCTTTTTCTTTGGTTTTTAATTAACTAATAAAAAAATTAGTATTTTTTGAATTATTTAGTAATTTAGATTCAAATTTACCCCCAATTTGCTAGAGTTTATGTTCTTTTTATTCATCCAATATAAAAAGCAGATGATATCTGATTTTCAAATAGTTAAAATATTATGAAATTGCTGGTGTAATCTTGTAAGGTTTAATTTTATTTACTCCTAATAATCATTGATATTTAAGAAGTAATTAAGTAGCATTGAACTACAAGATCTTTGACACCATAAAAGTAGTGATATAACTTTTTTTTTTATAATTAAAATTTTATTTATATCCAAAAAAGCTTGGCAATATAAATCAATATTAAAATTGATCAAAAAGTTAATATATAACACAAATTTTATATACCTGTAATTTATTTCATTATAAAACAGTTTTTTTTAATAAAAAGATAATGAATAATTGTGTAATCAATTAAAGCTGTCTTTATGAATAGGCTTAGGAACTTGAATTAGAATATAAATACTACATAATGATGAAGTAAAAGAATGACAATTAATCAGTAAGTAATCCACTTTATTATTCAACTCCATCAAAATAATTATTGATTATTTGTACAACTCAAAAAGACATAATACTAAAAATATGATTGGTTTTCACATCATATGGCTTATTTTATTGTGCAAAAAAGTAAAAGGTTAAGACCATCAACATAAGAGAAAAAGACTTAATACCAACAACAAGTTTATATAATCATAAAAACTAAAACGCAAAATGCCTTCACATCGCTTGAAGTACAACTAGTTTTTCTGTTAATAGCAATAATAATCTTCAAGGGTGAGGCCATTGTCATAGGCCCAATTCCATATGATTATCTCTCCACTCTGTCTATTACTATAAATAAATGTAAATTTTTCACAATTTTTTATTATAAATTTTTGTAAACGTACCAATGAATGCAATACCAACTCATTAAACTACTCATCATATACATACATATACATATATATATATATATAGAGAGAGAGAGAGAGAGAGAGAGAGAGAGAGAGAGATATTTATATGTCAGAGAGAGAAACAAGGCCTCTGCAATTCCAAATTCTATGTCTTGTTCTTTTTATCTCTTTTCAAAGAGAACAAAATTGCATGCTTTGATTTCAGCTTCTTCTTCTTAACCAAATTCCCATCATTTTAATGGTGTTTTCTTTGACAAAAAATGAAACAAAATCTCTGTTGCCAACTTTAGGGAACTGCAACCTTGTAACAAAGTCAGTTCATTTAGAACAGATATCAGTTACAGCACCAGTTCTTTTAACAAAAGAAAAGAGTTGTCTTTGTTCTTCTGTTATGTTCGTTTCAGTCTTCGTTACAAAGGTTGTTAGATTCATTTTTCCTTTCCAAAGTCTTGTTTTGTAAATCACGAGATTTGTTTGATTTTAAGAATAGTTTATTCGTGTTAGAAATCTTGAAGTTTTTGACTTCTAAAGGGGGAGTGGGTGTCTCTCTTTTCTTATTTTCTCTTCCAATTTGGTGGTTTGATTGAGAGTGCCCCATTGGATACGCAATTGGTACGCTGTATAGAGTCCTAATTCTACCTCTTCTTCCTTTTGCTTCATTTTCCCGAGAAAACGATGGACACGGAAAATCCAAAGTTGGTAGGTCTCTCTGGGTTTCTTCAAACATTTCATTTTTTTACGTTTTCCTTGTAACTGTTTAATTGGTTTTTATTATCATAATCTATCGTTTTATTTCTAATATAATTCCTTAAATTTTTATCTTAATTTCAAGTTAAGAGCTGTTCTGTCTTTATTTTCGTTCCTCTGACTTTGTCTGGTTGGGTTCCTGATTTGGTCATAGGATTTGGCATCTTCCTACGACGGTCGTGGGTCGGAAGAGAAGATATCCGCACAAAAGGTTTCAGTTTCGGATCATATCAATGGATTTCAATACACAACCGATAAATCCGATAGCTTTGTTATTGACATGGAAAGTTTCTCTCTTGGAGGAGCCAATAAGGAAATGAATCCAAATTCAAGAAGCACAGTAAGTTTCCTTCTATAATTTCTAAAAGACTACGTTTTTGAATGACACGTTAGCTCAATATATCGAAAATGTCTTTCTCAAGAATTCTTTTTCTGCTATTTAAGTTTACTTTTCAATCTTTTTCATTTTTCAATGGTGTTGATATTTATTAATTTGTTGTTTTTCATTTTGTTGATTAAAAAAAAAAAAAGAAATTGCAGAGAAGCCTTTCTCGAAAAGGGTCTCAGCGTGGGGACAAGAAGATTATTACTCCCAATTGTACTAATTCTAATTCTAGTTCCACCCTCAATGATAGAGGTTCTTTTGTTGCCACCTCCTCCTCACCCAGAGGTACGAACTTTTGACATTAATTGATTAGATTATATCATTGCATTGTCAATTTACCATTTGCAGCTTTTAAACTTTTCCTCCAACTATTCCCAGGAAAAATTTTCCCGGGAATTTTTTTTTTTAAATGGGAGCAGCTTGGTCAGATTTTACTAGTTTTTCCCATGTTTAATCTGTGGACCATTGGTCCCTGTGTGGGAGGGGGTGTTGGTGCATAATTGCATATGCAGGGCACTAGCAAAAAATAGTGAGAATAAATCAAGATTTGGCTACATATTTCCTGTTTACCATATTGCAGTCTAATACACTAATTTCCATCACCAACCTGGACCAACCACACCTCCGGCTTCAGTAGCTACCAATAGGCTGGCACCGCTTAGCGCGACAATTATACAATTGATATTGCTATCATTAGGCTATATCAATTAGTTTAGTACTAAAATTCTCAAGAAGGTTTGGTCCTTTCCTGTGTGCTGGCATGCATGCCTTTCTGGAATCCGGCTTTCTGCATGTATAGTTACAAAGCCTAGCATGGTAATGCCATCAGATTACGAGTTAAATTCCTAACTTGAATGACTTAAATTTAACTTGTTTAACTACAGGGCAGTTCTGCTGTAGTATTTAGGATTTACATATAGAAAAGGTACCTTGTCATTTAACTAAGAAGAGGGCAGTACCTGAATTTGAGTACTGCTGGGTGTTTAATGAGTTTGGTGCAAAGTACAGATTCCGGAATATCGTCCTTTTTGTTCATGATTTTCTCTTGGACCAATGTTCTCATGTATTCTTGGAAATTTTATGGTAAAATGACTGTTAGTTTACATATTTTATTTGTAAGATTGGGCATGGATTATTGAATTGCAACTACTCTGGTAGGTTCTAGCACGCCTGAAAAGCCAACGATGGTGGCTCTAGGGTCCACTGATCATGACAACAACCCACAAGTTCATCATCAGATCACCATTACGACCGGCAATATCACCGCTGCAACTGAAAGCAGATTTAGTCTAAGGAGAAATAGTTTCAGGCGGTCTCCACCCCCATGGCTACTAGATCCCAAGAGGATTCTCTTTCTCTTTGCCACACTGTAAGTTTCCAAGCTATAATGGTATTTCACCTGCAAAGACATGTAAGCACTTTAACAAATTGGATACATTGAAGTGAAAATTTCCTTTTCTTTTTTTTTTTTTTTTGACAGGTCGAGCATGGGAACAATTTTGCTGATATACTTCACCTTGTCAATTAGCAAAATGAATGGAGATGAGAATGCTTTAGATTAGTAGCTGGAACTACACTCACCAACTTATTGCTTATTAAAATATGTTGCAATGTAGCATACACATGGAGGTTCAATACGTGACAAATAGAAATGGATACGACTGGTTGATGGTAAGGCTCTTTTTTTGGTATGAATCTCTTCTTTTGATGAGAACTATATATCCAGGTAGTGAAGAACAAAAAGAAAGAAGAAAAGACAAATTGGGGAACGATAAAAGCTAATCAACCTTCCATTAAAATGGCTTCAAATTTAGCAGTTACCAACTTTTTGTGGCTCCTAGAAAAATTTTGGAGAAGAGGACAAGTACTTGTTACACTGTCACAAAGAGATGGAATCTTCCCTTTTTAATTAAATATACATATTTGTATAGAGATGAAAAAACATGCTATGTTACCTTTTTGTGCTTTCTAGTTTATCACCACAGTCGATAGAAATGAAATGGAGGATCAGAAAGTTACTTTTGCTCCCTTCTTTTTCTTTCGCCATACCTTCTCTTCAGTTTCCTTTTCTGGTAATCCAACTTCAAGTGCCTTTTTGTTCTTTGTGGCTTTCATGGGAGTGAGAAAAGTAAAGACCTTCGCTACGAGATTAACAGGCACTAAATTATTTGCATATTTACATACGAGCATGCGCACTCGAAGCTTACCTTTTTTTGTAGGGTTACCTACGGGATACTCTTCCAAAGGCTCGTACGTTGGTTCCCACAGCAGTTGAATAGGCCAAACACTCTCACTCATACTTGAGTTGAAGTGGGAAAGAGGAATCATTCCTGATACTGATACAATGCCTGGTTTCATTTTTTTTTTTTTTAAAGTAATAATGGTGCTGCTGTGCGAAAAACATTAGTAGTAAAATTGAGCAAAAACGCAGATGCATCAAGCTGCATGAACATCAAGGCAACAAACAAAACAGAATAATAGGTGATTTGAACAACAGAGCTGTCAATGACCATGAGAAAGCAAAGACTGCAAATTTCACTATCGAGAAAAGCTGCATCATACATTGTTAAATTGCTTCAGTTCCAGAAAGCCACACCTGATCCCAGACTAAAAAATCTTTCCCGGTAATAAAATCATAATTGATAATTCCCTATCAACTGCTCCATCTATATATATGTAGTATACAAATATACATGCCCTGTTCTTCCTTTGACAAAATTATAGAGGGAGAAAGGACGGTGGAGTTAGCATATGAAGAAGACTTGTTTCTAGGTAGAAAAAATGCAGTAAACGACAAGTTGACAACCACCTGGACGAGACTTTCAAATTTTCAATCACTGTCATCAGCATATTAAAAAATCTCCAAGCATGGAGGTGGGCATACGTATGTTCTCTTTGTCTTTAACGTAGTAACCTAGTTCCTGCCCCTACCAAGCCGCAAAGCTATTCATTATTTTTTAGACACAGCTACACCAGATACGCATCGATTCTAAATTCAGCAATGAAGCACTTGAAATAAGGTTTTCTCCGCAAAGCAATAAAACCGTTAAGCAGTCACTTTCTATATACCATTGGACGTTATAACCACTTGAAACAAATAGATAGCTGCCACTTTATTGAGAATCTTTATATGTTCAATAGACACAAAAGAAGACTTTGTTTAAGACAACTGCATAAGCAAACTATATGGCTGTATTGCATCATTATACACTAGCAGTTAATAAAGTTAATAAGCAGTGAAATACTGGTATTCAAGAAGGAAAGTAGAAAGGTATACAGGTAGCTATATTTCACCTTGTTCTCCCTGGAATTTACATTCTGAGCAATGAAGTAAGTAATTCTATGTAATAGACGAGGCAGCAACCTCTCACTCCTGAATACCTGAAAACAAGCTTGAACATTTTGAGATTCGTGGCAGTGAACACAAGGTTTCGATCATGGTAGAGCCTCAATATAGCAGCAGCAGTTTCTTCAATTGCTTTACCTGTCACTTCTGCACGCTCAAGTATTCATCCGAAAGTGGGAAGTTTCTTCGAGGAGCTCCGCGGCGAAAACCAGAAGGCGAGACACCGAAATGAGCGGCAATTGCCTCTGTAATAGGACCCTACATATTCGTTGATGGTATTACCCCAAATTTTGCAGGCTTGCTTGGCAGACTCTGCCATGGAAGGATCAGCTGAAGTATAAACAACAATTGCACCTTCCTTGGCTGCCTGCTTTATAATCTCCATCAATCTCTCAACATCATCTATCTAAGCATTGCAGATCATATTCAAAAAATCAATCTAAAAGACACTACTATTATTATTATTATGTTGTTGTTGTTGTTGACAAAATTTTATACTGACAATGAAACAAGACATTAAGAAACAAAACAAAAACAAGAAGACAACCTTAAATATTGCAAAACTTTCGAGAGAACTACACTAGGATTTATTAGTAACTGAAACTAGTTCTGTTAGGATGTGAAACTAAGTGAAAAGACAAACATACCCCGGAGAACAGATGTGTATTTACAGGGCATCATCCACTGTCCACCACGCAATGCTCGAACTGCCCCAAATGGAATGCTCCGCCGTCCATCCAGTTCCATCAGATACCATAAAATTTGGCTAACCCCATGCCGTTACCTCCACGTCATGATCGCCGTCACTTACAGTTGAAGTGGGCTCCAAAGACAGACTCTCTCTTGTTCGTTGAAATGACTGGCTCACCTCAAGCCCCCCGGTCCGATGACTCGATCGTTCCATCTTGTGGCCCGAACTCGTTTCCTAACCTTTGGCTCGGGTTCTGGCTTCGAAATATCGCGATTGGCCGAGGTAGCTGCTGCACGGAGGCTGAAGGTGGAAAAACCAAAATAAAGAGTTGAGCGGCCCACCTATTAAATTGGACTGAATATGATAATGCAGTTGAGAAATTTTTGGGCAGCCTTTTGTTAAAAAAAATAAAGGATGGTTTTACTTTGAAGTTCAGTTGGATTGTTGGGCCCACAAACGCTGCTATTTGGACTTTGATCTAAAATAACACATGGATCTGTGTTTTTTTTTTTTTAAATCACAAGGTTTCAAGGCTCCCACTTATTTGCTAATACTATAGCCTGAGGTATGATGCTAAGTTGTCGGATAAGTAATGAGTTTTTTTTTAATATATACATGATATGCTTCAAGAGGATAAAAGAACTGAAATTTCAAACATTGGAGATCGAGTCCAACTTTACATAAATTTAACTTTTTAAGTGAGTGACTCATTTAAATTAAACTTTATATACAACTATTAGGGTCCTAAGAAAAAAATTTGTTCTTACTGTTAATTTCTTAAGTTTTGCTTGCTAATGATCATATAACTTAGCCATATGTCTTAATTATTTCACAATTTGAGATTTTCGCCCTAAGTTTTTAACTGTAATAGAGCCGTTTAAGTGGGAGAAGAATATATGTATATCCGGAGCCTAAGGGTTTTTTTTTTTTTTTTTTGGTTCTTTTTAAAGTTCAATCACAATTTTCATGCAATTTTCCAATTAAACAAGACTTAAATATACTATTACATTTTCAAGGGGTGGTGCTGGGGAATGGGGTTTGGAGACTGACATTTTTATACGAATGACCTAGTACCTAACTTGAAGATGAAACCGATATTTAATAACTTGGTGGATTTATATAAGAAACCTGGGGAGCCCTACTTTATAACCATGTTTTTGAACATCCTCCTGGACTTTCTGTCTATATTCCCTAAAGCTAAACTTCCTATAAACCCAAGGCTTGCTGCAACTCTCTATCACAGTCTCATATGATGGGCAAAGGAAATATGCAGCGGAAAACCTTTCTTTTGTTGGGTTCGTGACCACACAATGTTGCACACTCTTATAAGTATCATTGCTCCAGGCCTGCACAATCAATATATCCAGTCAGTAGCTAGTTAATGAACATGAGAAGAGAGAATGAAGTTGGTATATTAGTATTGATTACCTGAAATAAATCTCCAATGTTGATGATTAAAGCTTCAGGATTGGGTTTGACTGCAACCCATTTCCCATCTTTCACTAATTGCAATCCTCCAACCTGATCTTGGTGCAATATAGTGAGGAAGTCGCTATCAGTGTGTGGCATTAGACCAAATATTTCTAAAAGAATTGGGCACGGTGGGTATCTGTTCAGTCGTAGGTAGCAAGTGCTCGGCAAACAATGTTCCTGGAAAAATTTTGACTCGTGACCTAATTTCTCTGCCAAAATTTCAGCTAATTTCTGAGCAAGACTGGCAACTTTAGTAGCAAACTGTTCCATTGATGAGCTGGTTAACACGTTACAAGGGCGTAAATGATCCCTGTTTGAGAATATTGCACAGTTTAAAGAAAAGAAAATGGAAAAAAAAATCTCCCAACTATGAGGAGGTGGGTCCAATCACCCAGTAGGCAGTAGTACAATAATAATATAAATCATCAAGAAAAATGGGACCCCGCCTCACATCAGGCTTTGTGATGCTTGTCAGACTGGATTGACAGAGCTTCCAGCTTGTCTAATGAACTTTTGACATTCACGTGTAAAGGTGCCAATGCTGGGTGCTGGCTGATGCATGCCAGAGAGAGAAGAGAAGAACATGCATTGCATGCAAGGTGAGGAAATGCCCATGGTAATGTATCTGCATATTGAATTGTCTCACTAAATCTAAAGGGGCAAAACCTACTGAGAAGTTACCGCTTAATAATGTTTACATGTGATAACTCATCAGAAGCCAAGTACGTCCCAGTGAGACTAGGAGTTGACAGAGAAGCAGAACCACCAAGAAGAAAGACAAAAATTTTACATATAAAAATAGACATGTCTGAGCCCGGGTTCAAACCGGGGACCTCTAGTGTGTGAGACTAGCGTGATAACCAGCTACACCACCCAGACAATTTTTGCTATTTCTTAAATCATCCATTTTCATAAAGGATTAAATATCAGCAAAGTTAAGTACTTGCTTAACTTTTTGGTTGAGACTCGAGTGGATATGATTTGGTTGAAAATAAAAGTTGTCGACCCTACAGTTTACCACCTGATCATGATTAAATTTAAAATTGAATTTCCATATTTGGTGCTACATGCAAAAATAGGACATGCAATATCAACCTCATATTTTCTTCAGATATGAAAAGGTAACTTGTCAAATTAATTAAGATGGACACAAAAAAATGTCGAAATGTTCAATATCTTACTATGAAGCTTTAATTTTCAATTTATGCCAAATGGATAGGCAAAGTTATGAATATCCGATTATATAGTATACATCAAGAGCATTCTATGTAAAATTTTTTTAATTATAATTTTATATTTGTTCAATCATAATAAAAATTATGTAGGATTTTATATTAAATCTTACAAAATTTTTAATTTATAATTGATTAATTGTAATATAATAATTGTAAGTAATTTGATCTCTCAATATATTTATATATATATATATATATATATATAGTAGAATTGCAGAGAGAAAAGCTTCTAAACTTCTGTTATAATATGCCTCTAAAACTACAAAAGAGAAAAGACTATGGATTGACCCTTTTTGTCTCGTCTTTATAATAGTTGGTTTTTCAATCTCAGCAGTTATTCAACTACTAATAGACAAAACAAAACGCTCTCAATTGTCTTAGACAAGAAATAAAGCTGATTTTTGTGAGCTCTTAGACTTTACTTGTTACGAAGGATGAAAAAATAAATAAAAATGAAAAACTTATTAATCTAATTATTAAAATTTATAATTAATTTCTTATTTTGTAGCTTAACGATTACATTAACAAGTCGTCTATTTTTGCCTTTTTCTATTCTCTCTTCTAAATAAAGCCTTAGCGAATTGTAAGAAAAGGGACAACAAATTAATGAAAAAAAAAAAAAAAAAGAGAAAGCAAAAGAATAAGGAAAAGAATAAATACCTGAGAGTGAGAGTATTACTATTGAAGGCGCCAGAGGTTGGGATATCGGTCATGGGAATGTGGAAAGCTTCTGACCATGATAATTGCCTTAGTGAAGTAGCTGTTGGCGTCCCCCAACGGTAACTACCTGCGGAGAAATTCAAGAACTTGTCTTCTCTGCACTTGTTGTGGAAAGGTTGCTTGAACACCTTAACTTGCTCGTCTCTCATCTTCTCCAGTATGTCTTTCGAGATTCCATGGTTTATGACTTGAAAAAAACCCCATTCATGAGCAGCGTGAGCTATCTCTTCCTTGCAACCTTCCTTCTCCACCTCGTCCAGGCCTAAACGGCTCAGATCAATCAACGGAGGATCGCGTTCCTCAATGATGACAAGGCGATCGTCGTTTTGAGATATTTTGGTTCTTGATTCCTCGTCGTCGATGGAGTTGGCGAAGAGGGTCTTGTAGGTCTCGTGGAATGGTGGGTCCGAATCCATGCCCAGTGGCTGATCTCAAAGCAGTTGAGTAGAGACGGGTTAAAAATGGCTAATTATAAGCTGTTTGTATGGTTGTGGGTGAGATGGAGTCAGAGGAGAGGGATTGAGACAATCTCACGTTTTGGACTTCGAAGACAAAGCTGAATTGCATGTCTTTTTTGAAACACTTGGAGTCATCCATTTTTATTGTTTCTTTAAAGTTATAATTATATGTCGATCACTTTCTATAACGTTCTTCTTCTTACACTTTATTTTTTTTGGTTTTCTCCTTTTGCTTTTAATTCGTTTATTTACTAATCCAATATTCCAATGAAATCATATTTTTTGAATTCAATGTTGTTTGAATTTTTTTATTTTTTATTTTAGATTTAATTAAGTTGTTTTACGTAACTACTCTTATATTGAATAAATTTTAATATTCAAATTTCAATACATTTGTAAAAAAAAAAAAAGAAAAAGAAAATGAAGATGAATTCACTGTTGACAAAAAAAGATAAACTAGATCTCTTTTGTAGTTGTAATTAATATTCAGACAGCATATTTGTTAAAGAATTAAATTGTGATGAACTATAGATATCTTCACTTCACAAATTAGGGGTTCAAATAACTATAGATGAACTAAACTATGACAAAAAAATCTAAGTTGATGAAATTTCATTTTTAAATAAATTTGAAGTGAACTTTGGGTTTTAATTAGAAACATATTGATATGTAAATTGGGGGGGTTTAAAGCAATAATAGATGACAAAGAATTGAATAAAAAAGATGCTAATTGCAGTTAATGAACAGGTAGCTACAAAAAGACCCATGCAAAATGCAGTCATTGAGAGAAACCATTTTGTATGTCGGCTAAACCATATGCTTCGATCAGACACTTGATGGTTTTATAAAACAGTACGAGATAATGGGGCTATTGGCAAAACCCTCCAACTATATAAAAAGATGAAGACAGTTATTAATTATTACAAGGTGGAATATCCCAGATTCCCATTTTATTGCCATATTAATCATCAAACATGGTCTAGATTCGTTGTTAATTTTGAAATTTATAGTAACTGAAATGTTTTTCAACAATGAAATTAATTGTGCCCACTTTGGTCTTTATTAGGATTGTCTTTGGGTGTCTTTCTTTCTAATCAAATGTGCCCACACTTGGCCTTTATTCGGGTCACAGTCACATAGATTTACAATAGGAGAAGAGCACAATTTTTCTTTTTAGGTTTTTATTGAATTCTTGACTTTGGTGGGAGATAAAAACAAGACTTTGGTCATGTCATCAATTAATTAAGCTTACAAGTTTTCTCTATCAAAAGGGTAATGCTGCCCATAGTCCTAGAGTGGGTTCATTTCCTAATTCCTTAAAATCAACCAAGATAGCGACCCCCTCAAGCCAAGGTGCATAATGTCCTTTTCTTTTTCTACAAGTAATTCAATTGCATTTCACACTATTGAACCCTTTTTTTGGTCATTTGATTTTTCTCCAAATAGTATTATTAGATAAGATGATATAATATTACTATGGGTCTGTATTGTTTTTAGATTCTCTCTCAATAATTGATCTTTAACATACTATATTTTGATCTTTTCAAGTGTCTTTTTGTCCCACACATCTCTATAGCGAGGCTGAATAAAAGAAACATCTCGATAGAGAGGCTGAAAATAAGAAGTATGACAAAGAAATATATATGTACGACTTGTCGTGAAAATTATGGACATTGCAGTCATGCCAAATGTTATCAGGCAATTATGACACCACTCTCTCATACCCATCACATCTAGTCATTGCAATTGGGCAACATAGCTTCATCACCATGTGGAAATGACGATGCCAAATTGTGGCTTCTGAAAATGAAACAGTGCTTACTAGAAGTACATGAAGCTCTAATTATCAAGTTAGACGATTTTCATATTTTAGATAACTGATGTTTGGATTGATTAACAGCTTAATGATGTAAATAAAAATGAAACATTTCTATATTTTTCGTCATGCATTTATATTGGGGTTTTTAACTACTAATAAAGAGGGAGAAGAAAACATAAACAAATTATAAAAGCGATTAGCAGACATGCATAGTAATGAACAACTCAGAATCGAACGCATTTTTCTTCTCTTACCTGGTCAGTATTTGCCATGAGATTATGAATCTCCACCATTTTTATGCTTCCTTGAATACGTGCTGATATATTTGTCTGCATGAACATAAAAAGAAAAGATTTTCAATTGATTCTCGAATCGTCAAAGACGAAATTAAGTGTGAGATAACTTCTTGCACGTCACTGCACGTAGATTTCTACGTCTAGTGGTAGTTTTCATCAACATCTATCTATCTATATATATATATATTGTTATCAATCTCATATAATATAAGTATATTTCAATCCTTATTGAAAACAAAAGGGAAGAAAATGAAATGAAGATTGGAACAAACAAAAATCTTGAAAGCTAGCCTTGGGAAACGACTATACTTGCAAGGGTTTAGAGAGAAGCAAATTAAAACACAGAAGAGTTATACTAAGAAAAAGAAAATATGTTACATCTATATACAGCAGAGCAAGATTGAAGGAGAGAATGTAATATGCTTTATTTGCGTAGTCGAGGAAGATTGAAGGACAGATATTTTATATGAAAGATCCCGTCAATATTACAGTTATTGATGCTAATTATTTAGGAAAGCAAAACAGTGGGAGTGACTGAGAGTCTATGCTTAAGACAAGAACACGCGTCTTATGTGAGTATCATGAGGGAAATGCAACTAGCCGACCATACTGTATTTTTTCAAACATAATTAGCGTAAGCACAGAGAAAAGTGGGTTTTCTTCTTCCTATTGTTTTGAAATGAGAGCGAGGAAAAAAAAAAGAGATAGGGTAAGGAGGGGGAGACTTAGAAGAACAAGAACCAAATGAAATTAGATGTAATTTGTGAATGAAAATTGGTATAGCCATGTTGAAAAGATACTTGGCTGAATCTACACCAATTGACAGGTTCTGGCTTTCAAACTTCGATCTTAATCAATTTTCTGTCTCGGTAAAATCTGAGAAACAAGGCACATGGTCGCTTCTGGTTCTAATATTCCAATCCAATCGTTAAAACCGTAATCTCTGAGCTATCCATGTTGGTACAAACTACATACGTAGCAGAATGTAGAGTCACATGCAGGTAAACTTCTTCAACGAAATTAAGTTACATCTGATTGACCTGAGAAATTAAGAAATCAAGATTTTCCATGTGTAGTGCTTCGATATAAAAGGACATCAGGATTCTCAGAGAAGGATTTATGCCCAAAATCCCTCATGCAAAGGCTCTAATTATGCAAAATATCCCTCAAATTTATTATACTATTTTAAAATTCAATCGACACTCACTTTTCCTGGACAGTCTAAATCTTGTATTCATAAGAAGAAACCAAACGAAAGCAACATGGCTTGCTGCCGCTGGTAATATCAATCTAAGTTTTTTTTTTTTTTTTTTTTTCTGAGAGAATAAATTAATGAGAATTACGAAGGTGCCATTGGCCCCACCTTTTGTTAATTATCTACAGACTCACTCGATTTTCAATTCAGGTGTGTCTAGAATGGATATATATACATTTCACGTGTTGTTTTTGTTGGAAGTTACTTTTAATTTCATAATTTTATATTAAAAATTAGTGAGTTTTGAATTTGTCTAATATCTCATATCCAAAGTTTAATAAAGGTATAAATGATTTCATTTTTATAAATAAGATGTTTTTGTTTTAATTTGATAATCTCAGAGAGTTAAACATCTAGAGAATAACTAATTGAGTAGGCTATTAAATGGTGTAATTAAGTTTTGGGTTAAGTTTTGAGTAAAAAGTTTTAGAAAACTTTTCTCTTTCTAAAAGTCTCACAGTTGTAAAGATTTATTTGTTAATAGATTATGTTTGGAGTAAATTATTTTGACTTACGTCGAACTAAATATATTTGTATATTTTTATTTTTGATTTGAGCTTAATATTTTATGTATGAGTATTACTTGTGGGTGTTGATTTTACCAACAGTGTCGTTGCAGCAGGGTTTAAACAGACTACATTGTTGATCGACGACAAACATAAGCCAAGTTGCATATATATGGATTATTATTTTGGCCTTATAGCATTATTTGTGGTGCTCATATCTTGTGATTAAATTGAGTCACAGGGTGACAGGACTGCTGGCGAGGATAAGGTGGGTGAGGCAGTGAAGTTCCTGGATCTGTTTCTGGAACCTCACCTGCAATGCTGATGCAGGTACAGCGTTGGGTTGACTACTCACTTTTCTTGTGTAAATAGAGGCTTTCTTTTTCCAGCAATTTGATATATAGGGACACCACATGGTTAAAGTTTGCAATTTGAATTTGGATTTTAGAAGGTGAATTTCTGTAGGACAAGAGATGATCATTATGTATATATTGTGTAATTAACGTGGGATAAATTTTAAATGAAGTTTTTTAAATGAAGTTTGTGAACTTTTTTAATTAATTTAATAAAAACTTAAATAAAAATCTAAATCGATATATTGATAAAATTCAATATAAATATCAATAATATGTAAAAAAAATATTAATAATATTATTAATAATTCAAATTTAATCGGTACTTATTTGACGATCGATAAAAATACTATAAAAAATTTTTATTAAAAATATTTATCTAAAAAATATATCAAAATTTATTAATATATATTTTTAAATTTTCACACTTGATTTATATAACAAAATTTTTTAATCTACTGATTTTGATTCTTAATTTTAACTTTTATTTAATGATTTTTAATAAAAATTTCACGAACTTGAAAGTTTAATGAGCCATGGCATTTAGGGGGAAAAAGCTTTAGATCTTTTTTTCTTCTTAATGAACTCCATCTTTAATTTTGTGCATAATAAATTATGTGCACCTGCACCATTTGCCATATATATAAACTGTGTTGTTATGATTCTATATCAGTTTTGAAATATATTTGACTAAAATAAATATAAAAGTTCTATATCCTCTAACTAACTAACTAACTAACTAACTAACTATATATATACACACACACAAATTTTTAAAAAATTAATATATTCTTGTAAGACACATAATCTTAATTCGAGACTTATGACTCAAGTCCAATTAGCATATATAGGATACAAAGATTATTAACTTTTATTTATTTTTATCTTTTTGGCAATAATCAAATCCTACACAACCTTAGTACTACTAGAATACTCATTCAACATTTAATTTTTTATGTAGAATTTAATGGTTGACATTCAATTAAATGGCATGCTCTACTTGAAAAAATTAGCTAGATTATTTAATTAAAAAATGAGTGTAACTAAAAACTCGATATATATATATATATGTGTGTGTGTGTAACTATCCCCTAAAGTTAGGAAGTTTAAATTAAAAAATATAATATTTTATCAAATTAAATTATATGAATATCATTAGAACATATAATGTTATTGTAATTTCTTTACCATAGTTTTTAATCTTGACTTGGTCCCAGATGATGAAGTTGCAGAGGATCTGTCTTTGTGTTGTCTATAATTAGCTAGTGTGGTAAGTATCTCATATATCTGGGGAAATGGTCCAAAATTTTAACTAGGAAAACATGTGATTCACCTCCAGGAGGAGCAGAAATCGTAGTTGTAATGGGCCAAACGTTGAGTTGTCTAAGGGTACGTACCTTTAAGTCATATGAACCAGGGAGCTAGGCCTGAAACAGCATTACTTGCCCTAATCTTTCAAGGACCAACACATGCAAATTTCTGCATCGAATTAAGCCATGTGATGGAAAAAAGGACGCGATCAGTTTCGGCCTCCATTATTGTCAGCCTATCCACATGGACGGTCGATGAAAGGAGGTACAAAAATGGTTGATGATCATTTTATCATAAAAATTTCTTTGAGAGTGTGGTCATTTAATTTAAAAGAATCAATCATGATCAGTCACCCTCGACACTATCATCGTGGGGGTGGTGCGGTGGAAGGCTCAAGGTTCAAAGTCTGAGTGGTGGGTTGGGCTTAGCAGGTCATGTCGTTGTTGGCTGCCCCCTGGTGCTTCCCCCACCCTTTTTTTCTTCTATTGGTTGGCAAAATCTTGTATTGTATTTCAATTAACGCCCACTCAATCAGTAAGAGCCCCAAAGATTCGCCCTTTCCAATCACGTGCATTGCTGGGGCCTTCTTCCTTTCTTTTCTGTTGCTTCGCATGACATGAATTTGTATAATTTGGGTTATAAATCTTGTTGAGAGCTTTATTTAGAATGGTAAGAAAAGGTGTAAATGCACCTAACAACAGAAACATCTCAATCTCAGGCAACATTGAACTGTATTTTTAGCATTAAAAAATGCAAAGTCACATCTCAATTTTAATATATTTATTTAAAACTCAAATCACTTGGTAATTTTTTTTTTTGACAAGAAATCATTTGGTAGTTAAGTTGAAGTGACATAATATCATATTCATACATACATATACATGACCAATAGGCATTGGACCACGTCATTTATAATTCAAAGCGAGTCACGTTTCTTTTGAATGAGATCGGACCTCCAATGAGAGATTGGTTGTCATTTTTTTTTCTGTATTCATCGCTCGACGGATATTCAAACCGATGATGCGATAAAAGTCAAATCATAGATTGATATTTTTTTATCCAGTGATGCAGGTGAATTTTATTTTTTTTTTTGCCCCCTAAATCTTATTTTAATACCAATTGAACCAATTTTTTTATTTTGATTTTTTATTTTTTTCATAACATTTTTATTTTTTATTTAAAAATTATAACAGTAATTTTATTAATTTAATATAATAAATAAAATTTATTATATAATAAATTAATAAATAAATTAAATCAATATTATTATTTTATTAATAAATTTTATTATTTCTTAACCAAGTTTATATAATAAATAAAATTTTAAATATTAAATAATTTAAAATATTATTATATTTTAATTTTAATTTAATAACTTTAATGATAATTTTTCTTCTAATTACAATACAATTTACCGTCATCGACATGTTTACATCTAAATATATATCCACTATTAATTTTAATTTTACTATTATAATAAATAATTTTATCTTCTATTCAAATGAATTTTTACCCATAAAAAGAATTATAAGTTAGAGATTGGATTAACCCCAGCATACTTCGATGGTCTAA